AACGGATAAAAGGAACACTCGAAACGCTTAAGGAAATAATATAATAGATAGCACAGTGGCGTTTCGGATAGGTAATTAACTTTACATTTATATGTATCAGAATTAAATTCAAAGTGTAGAGTACATCTTACGCTATAACTGGTAACTGCATATAGCGAAAAATTTACCAAGTTGTGCATTGGTGCACCGAATCGAGGAACGGGTGGCACATGGATACGTTTTTGGTGTAATCATCCCAGAATCTGCAAGACGATTGGTCATTCTTTGTCAAGTGCATAGAGTTGGATTTCGATCATGCCCAAGATAGCCAGTTAAAAATCAGCATACGGTTATAACCATAAATAAAATTCACAGCTTACCGGCTAAAACTTTACTCTAACATAAGTGATAATCGGTATTACGCAATAAGCTGCATATCGCCAGCGCAAGTAATATACTGCTGCATGCAAGCGTAAACGGCAAACGTAGAAGTTGGGTTTTCTCACTCTGTTGATGACGCAACCCATGCTATCAGACCATGTTAACATATCGTTAACGATCACACCAAGGTACTTCACTTGTCTGAATCGCTTACTAGAATTGTTAATTCCTTTGTTAATTATAATTAGTTCAGGTGTATTTATAACTGTACTGGACAGCAAGTATGGACGGTTCAATGGTTCCAGCACTTGCAAAAGATACAATTATGCAAAACAAAGAAATGAAAAGCAAAACTTTTTACCACTGACAGTTACTGATTAAATACTTCGCGTTTATTTCGTATGTTCAGAAGTAATAATTTTTCTGACTTTGTCTGCGCAATAAAATTTAAAAATTCCGGTAAGAGGGATTTCCGTTAGAAACTCAAATTTAAACAAAAACTTTGAATTATACTTTGCAGATGAACGAGTTAAAAGAAAACCAAGAGAAACGTGCAACAAGCGAGCAAGACGCGAACACGGTGAGAATTTTGCTGAAAAAATTACTGATCAAATTCTTCAAAGCGCGTTGTTGCGTTGTAGCCCATTGGTCACTGTCGTCATGCGCTCGAATATCAAAAGCACGCCGATGCGTTCCAAGAGCAGCTCGACCAATCGAATCGCGTCATTGCTGATCTCCAACAAAGAAACAAGAGAATGCAAGACAAAATAGATAGCTTGCAAGCTGCTGGGAATGAAGTAAGAGTTCGAGACGCCAAATCGGTTAGTTGCCACGCGATCTTCCATTTTGTTTAGGAAATCGTCGTTCGGTGAATCAGCTCGGACAGTCAGCAACAAACGGAGACGCATGAATCGGAAGATCCAAGAAAATTTTCAAAAGAAGAAGCTGAAGCATAATCCAGCACCAATATCTATCCATTTGTCACAAATATGACTGTTTTCATGTATATACTGATCGTTCACAATGCCTATTATTTGTTTTGTTCGCCAAGAAGAACAAACATACCTGTTATACTTTCATTGCGTTTCTTTTACATGAGAGTCCATTCGAGACGAGTTCGATGAACAGACGTCTGTTGCATCTAAAAGAC